TAGGTCGTTAATGTTACAATGTTCCTCAGATGGTGAGGATCATACTCTAGAGTTTTTTTATTGTTTCTAGCAAGCATATATGTCCATTATTAGGAATTGATGCATGTTTTAACCTTGAATGATTCAGTTTATAAATAAGATTGGAATATCAAATAAAGGTAAGTTGGATCATTATACAACTGTTTTACCTCCATCTAAAGATCAATTTATTATTAATAATTCAGAAGTGTTTGAAGGTGTGGGAAAATTTAATGGGATTGTGTAAAATCATAGTAAATTATCAGACAGCTCCTGTAGTGAGACCACCACGTAGAGTACCACTTAGTTTAAAACCTAAACTTGAATTAAAATTAAACGAATTAGAGAGACAGGGCATTATTGCAAAAGTTTATCAACCTTTGAACTGGGTTAGCAATCTAGTAATAATTGAAGAAGCTAATGGATCCTTAAGAATATGCTTTCAATCTATCTTAACAAAGCTATAAAAAGAGAACATGTGTTGATTCCAACAATTGAGGAGATTTTACCAAAGCTGTGTAATAAATCAATTTACTCTGTTTTGGACTTAAAGAATGGGTTTTTTCAAATAGCATTAGATAGGGAGAGCAGTGATCTTTTAGCACACCATTTGGATGCTATAAATTCTTAAGGCTTCCAATGGGTATTTCCTGTGCACCTGAAAATTTTTAGAAATGCAATCTTGAAAATTTTGGTAATATACCAGGAGTATTGATCTATTTTGATGACATCCTCATTGCCGCTAGCACTGTACATAAAATTTTAGCAGAGGTATCAACAGAGCTAAAAATCTCAATATTAAATTCAACAAGCAAAAACTTCAACATAGGGTTAGTGAGGTTAAATATTTAGGCCATTTATTTAACGTATCAGGCATGCGACCTGATCCTGATTGAATTAAAGCCATTACTGAGTTACAGTAACCTCAGAATAAGCATGAATTACAGCCTGTGTTGGGAATGTGTAATTATTTGAGGAAATTTGTACCACATTTTTCAGAGAAAACAGCCATATTAATGGAACATTTGAAAAACAAAGTAGAATGACAGTGGTTACAGCTACATTCTAAAGCATTCACGGAATAAAAAAAATTAATTTGCAATGCACCTGTGTTAGGAATATTTGATGGCAGTAAACCTATCACTATACAGGAAGATAGTTTCTAAAGATGGGTTAGGTTGCTGCTTATTGCAGAATGGGCAACCAATTGCTTTTCTGTCTAGCAGTTTAAGTAATGCAGAAAAAAACTATGCTCAGTTTGAGAAAGAATTTCTTAGTATTTTATTCGCTGTTAATAAATTTCACTATTACATTTATGGTAGAGAGGTAGAAGTGCTTACTGATCATAGCAATAATTTTGCTCATAATTGATAGTTTCAATTATGAACAAAATTATTGCTAATGTGTTGTCAAATAGATTGCAAAGGATAAAAATTAAGCTCTTAAAATACGAGGGGAAGTTGAATGAAAACCATAATTATTTTTTTTAATATTATTTATTGGTCACACAGGGTACAGAAGTAAATCCCTTTTCAACATAGTCCCCTCCTCGCTCAATGCAAATCCGCCAGCACTTCAGAAGAGCCTGAATACCTGCAGAAAAAAAGTCTTTTGGGCGACGGCGCAACCACTCATGCACCGCATTGCGTACCTCTTCATCGGAGTGGAACTTCCTGCTGCCCATTGCTGCTTCTTTGAGCGGAACAAACTGATGGAAATCGCTCGGTGCGAGGTCTGGCGAGTAAGAGGGATGTGGGAGGCATTCAAATTTCAGGTCTGTGATGGTTGCAACCGTTGCACGCACCGTATGGGGCCGTGCATTGTCGTATTGCAGCAGCACAGCGGCTGACAGCAATCCACGTCATTTCGTTTTGATGGCAGGACGGAGATGATTTTTTAGGAGGTCCGAGTACACAGCACTCGTCACAGAGATTCTTCGTGGCGTGTAGTGTTCCATGATGATGCTCTTTTCGTCCCAAAAGAGGGTCAGCATAACCTTCCCTGCATACGGCTGTGTCCGAAACTTTTTGGGTTTCGGTGATGAGGAGTAGCGCCACTCCTTGCTCGCTCGCTTTGTTTCAGGCTGATGGTAATGCACCCATGTTTCATCACCAGTGACGATTCGTGACAGGAAGGCATTACCGTCACGTTCAGCACGCCACAAAAGGTCTTCACACGCATCAACACGTCGCTGTTCAGTTCAGGCGTCAGTTGCCAGGGCACCGATCTTGCAGACACCTTATGAAACTGGAGAACATCATGCACAATATGATCTGATGATCCATGACTCATGTGTACACATGCTGCAATTTCGTCTATTGTCACACGGCGGTTTTCCAAAACGATGGCTTCAAAGGCTGAAATGGTCTCTGGAGTCACTACGCGCCGAGCCTGGCGTGTGGAGCATCGGCCACGGACGTAACACCATTTGCAAATTTCCCGCACCATTCATAGATTTGTGGCTGTGACAAACATGCATCTCCATACTGAACCTTCATTCGCCTAAAAATGTCAATCGGTTTCACACCTTCACTTCGCAAAAACCGAATCACAGAATGCTGCTCCTCGCTGTTGCATGTGGCTAGTGGGGCTGCCATTTTGGAACTGTTGTTGTGCCGGTGTTTGTGCATCTGCCGGCTGCTGCCACCTAGGAGACATCCGGCATACTATCGCAAACAGGCATGCCAACTTACAGCTCACTGGCACCATATGCGGATTTTTATTTCTACTTTTATGGTTTTCAGTTGACTCCCCTATGTATAACTTAACTTAAATATCTGCCTGGGAAATATATGTATATTGCAGATTTACTGTCATGTTCCTTTATTGATACACACACAAATGAAAACATGGATATAACAGAGATTGTTCATACACTAACAAAACAATTGCAAATGTCTGAGTGTAAGAAAAGGGAATTTCAGAAAAAAGTAAGTTTTTAGTAAAAACATATTGGCAAAATGGATGGCCTTTGAGTGTTGATAAAGTTCCTAAAGAAGCAAGATCTTATTAAATTTAAAAATGAGTTGAGTGTTGAACAAAATTTAGTTTTTTTTTTTTTTTTTTTTTAATAATCGAATTGTAGTACCTGTTGCATTAAGGAAGTGCATGTTAACATTATTGCATGAAGCTCACTGTGGGGTTGAAAAATCAAAAGCCAGGAATCGACAAGTACTATTTTGGCCAGGAATCAATAGTGACATTGAAAATGTTTTCTAAATGCCTAATTTGTGATAGGTTCAGGCCTCAAACAGTAAAAGAACCTCTTGTTTCTCATGAAGTTCCCAGTTTACCTTACGAAAAGGTTGGTGCTGATATCTGTGAGTATGCAGGGAAAAGTTATCTAGTAATAAGCTGATACTTAACTAAATGGGTAGACATAATTCCTCTAAAAAATAAAAGTGCAATGGAAGTTACTAGTAAACTGAAATCGATATTTGCAACACATGGAATACTCAAAACTTTAATTTGTGATAATGTACCATTTAATAGTTGGAAAATGAAGAGTTTTGCAAGGGACTGGGGATTTGAAATAATCACTAGCAGTCCTCGATATCCTAAATCTAATGCATTTGCAGAGAAGTTGGTAGGTATAGCTAAGAGTTTATTTCGAAAAGTAGGATTGGAGAAATTAAATGAGGCTTTACTGGAATATAGAAATACTCCAATTTCAGGTATAAATTTATCACCAAGTCAAATGCTATTAAGTAGGAATTTAAGAACATGATTACCAATTACACAAACAGAATTGCAACCAACTGTAAAAGATCAATATACAGAAAAGGTTAGAAGTAAGCAGAAACAGGTTAAATCTATTATGATAAGCATGCAAGGGAAAGACCTGAATTTATTCCTGGGGAAAAGGTGATGTTGAGATGGGAAAATAAATGGGAGCCTGCTATAGTTTTTTTACTGCTTTTGTTCTAATCATATTGGATTAGAAAAAAAGATAATAAGATAATTAGACGGAATAAATTCCATTCAAGAAAAACTAAGAATAAGAAGAATTTAGTGACATTAGACTATTATGATCTATGTAATGAGAATGAGGAAAATATAAGTAGTGAACAACCAAAAATACATAATGATCCTCAGCATCAAGATAATAGCAATAATATTAATCGGGATTGTGTATATAAAACAAGAAGTGGTTGTAATGTATATCGGCCATCCAAATATGATAATTATGTAATGCATTGATTCCTATAACTCTCCCAAAAGAGGGGAGATGTTACATATATGTGGCAACACACTAGTTGCTGGTTGAATTGAAGTGAAGTAATTGTCAGTTGATGTTGGTTTGTAATAAACGATGTGGTATGTGAACCCATTGTAATGTCAATTAATTATTGATCTAGCAATATTAATATGAATATAACAGTTACATAATACTTTTGTTGGGTAGGCGAGAATTCTTTTATGTATTCCTAATTTATTTTAATGCAATACTATGTTAATCACTAAACATTTATTAATAAAACCTTGCTGATTGAAACAATCAATGCCAAAACCAGGACTTCAAGGATAAATTCATATTTTCCAAAGAATGATATGTAAACACATATCTAAGCCTTCCAAATACTAATAATTTTATGTCTATTTGAATAATGCTTGTTAAAATGGGAAAAAAAAAAAAAAAAAACAAAAAAAAAAAAAAAAAAAAAAAAAAAAAAAAAAAAAAAAAAAAAAAAAAAAAAAAAAAAAAAAAAAAAAAAAAAAAAAAAAAAAAAAAAAAAAAAAAAAAAAAAAAAAAAAAAAAAAAAAAAAAAAAAAAAAAAAAAAAAAAAAAAAAAAAAAAAAAAAGCAAGTTGCTCCCTCCTAAACTCAGAGTTGTCACTCACAAAAAGTCTAATTAATTTTACACCCTAACTCAATTTTGGTAGCAGTTTCCATAATAGCGCAATGATAACATTGAAGATAATGAAGGTATTTCTAATTTAAATTACTGAAATTTACCTTTGTATAATTATAATTTATTTTACCTTTGTATTTTGAATATAATGCCTTTCATGTTTGGGTGGTGATGAAAGTGGGGATTTTGGATTTGAAACAACTGCTTCTTTTACTTGAGCTTTAGGTTCTTCAGATGGACCAGTAGGTAAAATCATAATATCAGGAGTAGCACCAATAGCATTCAGCCCATTAGATTTCTCATGGCTCTATAAAAACAAGAAATAAAAATATAATATAACCATTTGAAAGTGGATCATTAATTTAAATATATACTGAATCATAAATATCCTATTTTACATATGATCAGCATGTCATTTTGTTAAAGATAATATTAATGAATATAAAATGTCATATGGTATGTTATGGTACCCTTTGAACTCTTGAAATAAAATCCTAGCTTAAGATATAAATACTGAGATACGCTCCCTTACAGCACTCTATATTAACATTCTGAAACAGTATGAGCTATAAATATACTTTTATGCAATACGAGGAGGTATAAAAAGATATGTTATACCTGAAGTTTAATTTTTAAAGATACTTTACTGTTATTCTCATAAAGCAGTCCTAGCTATTTTTTTTTTGGGGGGGGGAGGTATTACACACATTATGATATTTATAAAAACATTCTATAACACAACTTAGTACTCTTTTTTAAACTCTCTAGATACTGATAATTATTAATATTTTCTATACGTAGTTATAAATATTTATTACTGATCATTACCTAATTATTAACTGTGTCTTGACTTAATATTAAACATTTTATATGCATTTAGAGTCATTTTATTCCCTGTACTTACATAATTATACCTCTGTGAATTAACAAGCATCCTTGATCTTAGGAGGAAAGACAGGTATAGCAAATTCTTTATAAAACATTTTCATCATAAAAATGACAAAAAGTCCCACATTGAAGATATGATTTACATTAAATTCATACTGTTGTTTTACTCCCTTTTTAAATACTCTTGCAAAATAAAAATTTGAAATAAAAATTTATAACACCAGAAGTTTCAAAACACTGAAGGTTCCTACACACATTATCCACATATTCTATACAGGCACATACATTAAACATATATTTTATATAGATTCACACATTTCATTAAAATTTGAATATCTGGAGAAAGTATATTCATATTGGATGTAAATAAAAAATATTTTCTAGATATCATAACAAATAATTAATCTGTCAATAGTTTACAGCGACAGAATTTCTTTAACTGAACAGTTTTCTGAAGATTAATAGCAACTGCAAATACATTCTAATTAACAATTTCCCAATATTTAAGAAATATGTCAACATTTCAAAGTCTCTTTTGTGATTAAATGCATTCACTTTTCTATTCCATCACTTTTGCTATCAGAAACACCTCTGATATTTTTCTGTGATAGCCATATCCATCAACAGTCTGCATGAAGACAAGAATCATCTATAACAATCTATAATAATCTCCAAATAAAATGTCTAGACTAAGTCTATTTTTTATGACCATCCATTATTCCACATTTACTTTAGTTACTTGTACTTCATAGCTTACCATGGGTTCTGTATTAATGGCCTTTTGTTGATCTTGAAATTGTGCATATATAATCATTCACATTCCCTTGCAAATTGTCCCCCTAAACCTAAACCTCTTTTTCACTGTTGGTGTTAATTACTTTGAATTTTAACCAGTGCACTCAGTATTTGCCTTGCAAGGCCATTCACGGTAGTGAGTTAATTAAGGTGTAAGAACACTTCGCCCGAAGGCGTAAACAACAGTCCAAAAAAGTGCAATCTGTCTAAGATGTTAACAGTCGATGGTAAAGTCAGAAGCATCACAGCAGAAATACAGCATAGTGTCCTAACATTATCAAAAGTTCTTCTAAGTTCATTCACAATAATAAGGTATAATGCAATCTAAACGGTAACAAGTCACTGAGAGAATGAGAACATGTAACACGGTGAGCGAATAGGATATGTAACACTGCGGTGGCGTGGCGAGTTCATTTGCACATAATAATGCCACAAATATGAGAGTCTTGCTAAGTCCATTTCTTAGTAAAGGCACATAAGAAAATAATAAACACTGAACTCTAACACAGCACTAAACAAGTCACAATCTTGACTAAATCTTGGTTAAATAAGTAAGAAAATATGTACACTATTTACAGTAACCACTTAATGTTGTGATGAATAGAACGAGGTCTTTTTACAACACTGTTCACCGTAGGGTCATAGATGGCAATTTCATGTAAGGTACTTATCGGGGAATTTTCCATCTTCTCAAATAAGTTATGTGCAATCATAAGAATTTGCTCCGAGATAGGATTAATTTTTAGGTCAGCGTGAATGATCGAGTTTCTAACGAACCACGGCGCATTGGTCATGCATCTCAGTATTTTGTTCTGTAAGAAGTCTAGTTTTTTCCTTTCAGTTTTGTTCACAATTGCCCATGCCGGGGCAGCATAAAGCATAACAGGTCTAATTAGCATAACATACAGCGTGCATTTGATTTTTATGCTAAGTTTTGACTTCCTTCCAATTAGTCCATAAAGAGCCATAAAAACTCCATTTGCTTTATTGACTTGTTCATTTATATGCCTTTGAAAGTCATGACTTGTTCATTTATATGCCCTTTGAAAGTCATGACTTGTTCATTTATATGCTCTTTGAAAGTCAATCTGTCGTCCAAGATGACCTCTAAGTATTTTGCAGAAGAACCTACTACCTAACTCACCTATCTTGATGTCAGTATTAGTGACCACATTTCTGCGGTAACAGCGAAACTGTACAATTTTACACTTTGCGGAGTTGATTTTGAATTTCCATAACTGGCACTAGGCAGTGACAAAATTGTCGTGAATCTGTAAGTTATTTAATGCAATTTGCGGGTGCTGAGATCTTGAAAGAACGACCGTGTCATCAGCCTATTTTAACAGCTTTGAATTGAGAGGATTTAGCAGGTCATTTACAAAAAATATTGAATAATTTTGGTGCGATGACTGATCCTTGCGGGACCCCACTAGTAATAATTTTCCTGCTTGAGAGAGCGTCTCCTACTTGAACTTGAAAAGTCCTCCTTCTTAGGTAAGACATCATGAGCTTGACAAAGCTGACAGGAAATAAGAAATTACGAGGCGTATTCGGAAACTAAGTACCGTTTTGAAGAAAAAAAAAAAAAAAAAAAAGTAAAACAATTTTTTCGAATCCAATTTTATTTTTACATGAAAATACATGTCTTAAACTATTTTTCAACATAGTTTCCGCCAATGATCAAACACTAGTCATAGCGGGTGACCAGTTTTTGTATACCATCATCAAAGAAACTTCCCGCCAGTTTCGATAACCACGACTCCACAGCATTTTTTGTGTCATCGTCAGATCCAAAGCGCTTGCCACCAAGCTCGCACTTCATGTCTTCATGTGCAGGAAAAAGTGATAGTCGGACGGCGCCAAGTCTGGGCTGTACGGCGGGTGATCGAACTGCTCCCAATGAAACTGTCAAATTAACGATTGAGTGACACCAGCAGTATGGGGCCGAGCATTGCCATGGAGCAACACAATTCCTTTACTGAGCATTCCTCTTCATTTGTTTTGAATGGCACGCCTTAGTTTTGTTAAAGTCTCACAATATTGTGCCGCATTAATGGTTTCACCTCTGGGAAGAAATTCAGTAAGCAAAACGCCTTTCCTATTCCAGAAGACAGTGCACATGATTTTTTGTGATGACATTGTCACTTTGAACTTTTGTTTTTTCGAAGAATGAGTGTGTCTCCACACCATCGATTGTTGTTTCGATTCTGGTGTGAAATGACACACCCGCGTATTCACCGTAAATTTCTGTCACTTGACGATAAATTTCGGCTGGTTTAACATTCCTCGCATTCAAAAATTTAATCACGGCACGAATCTCACAGTCAGCGGGAGAACTAATTGTCTTAAACATTTTGAATGTGCACAGCAAACTGAAAACACAACATAGAGCAACCAAAATGGCGACAATTAAAAGTCAGTGAACAAGAAAGACTAGTGCGCATGCGCGGGACGCCTACCACAGCGCTGCGACGGCGCTAGAATGAAACGGTACTTAGTTTCTGAATACGCTACGTATTAAGCTTGTAAATTAGGCCTTTGTGCCAAACTTTGTTGAAAGCCTTCTCTAAATCAACAAAACATGCCGCAACTCCTGTTTTATGAAAGAAAGCCTCCGCAATGTATTCTACAAGGTTAAGCACCTGATGGGTGGTACTATGATACTTTCTGAATCTAAATTGAGCAGAGTCAATTAAATCCAATCTTTCAAGATGAATGTCCCCCATTTCATAAGCACTGAAAACACAGTATCACAAATTCTAATTCAGTCTATTATCATTCATAAGTAAAAACATAAAAATTCCCTTGTATATTTTTAAATCGTTGAGTTACATAATTATTGCTTTCATCTATGGATTCACAGAAATTTTTTTCTTTCACTAAAAGTCTTTTTTTAAAGCATTTAGAACAGATTTGGGAAACAAATAAAATTCCATTCAAAGATCAATAGGTGCAAAGTAGATACTAAACAAAAAGCAACTTGACATAACATTTAGGGCAATATTGTAACTTGCACATTAACAATATTACAAAGTCTAATGCAATAATTTATTAAAATTTTCACCTATATGACTTTTACAAAAGGAAACAACTAAATTTAAAAGTAAGCTGCTATGTTATATCAAAAGTTGTAAATGAATTAAACTTTAAAAAATTAAACTGAAACCATCTTACAAACTTAAGTTGTTGCTCTAAAATTTAGCTATGATTTTCTGCCATTTTTCATATAATTGAATTTCACATGAACAAATTTGCACTCAGAGAAATTCTACTTGATAAAGTAAACATCTCATTTCACATGCGCTTAAATATTTTTAAATAACAAATAGCTAAAACTGATTAATCAATATTTATGCACTATTTTTTCATAACACAGTGGAACAAAGCAAAGGAAAAGCATATAGAACTTACCTAAAAATGCTTTTAAATAAAATACTAAGAATTTGAGATAACATAGTCAAAAATAAAATTTCAAAATTCTAGAAAGTGTGCCCTTGACTTACTGGGTTTTGACCCGTTGTTTCATTTCCTTCAGAATCCTTAGAGCCTTGCTTTTTCAGTGCATAATTCCTTGCATGGCGAGCATGAGCTTTTAGCTCTTTAGGGTATGGAGTGGGAGCTCTTACAAGTTTACTCTATAGTTGAAATAAACAACTTTAACAATTTATGAAAATAAATTTAATGGGATATGTCAATTTTAACTTTTATACTCAAAGTTATTAAAACACAGCTCATATACATTTCTTTAAATGAAAATTAAGGACTTTAAAATATTTTTAAGAACCACATATGAAAAAAAATTAAGTAACACCACCAGCAAAAAGATCTGAATTAATTCAAGCAAATATCTATTCAACCACTTTCACTCTTGCAATACTATTCTAAGAATAAAACAGAAGTATGTAGAATAAAATCAGCTCCTTAAAAGCTTTAAGTAATGATTATTAAATTATTAATATAACTTCTTGAGACATTTATACTTTACATGTATAATAGTCGCACATTTTAAAAATTTTCAAGCTTACTATTACAAAATTTTTCTTATTATTTTTATATTTATTTTTTTCAAAATATTTTTTAAAAAGCACTATTAAAATCACAAATTAAGGAAATTTTGCAATTTAAAGTAACAGATAATAGCATAGATAATTTATTACATTGGCTTCAGACAACACATTAGAGGGAATTATACATAAAAGATACAAAAACTTCATAATAATACACAATATTTCTATCTTTTTAATCTAAATTCTTTTTTTGGATATTTCAGCTTATATACACATCTATTTCCCTCTTTCTGATTATGTTTCGAAGTACATTTGCTTTAATTAACAAATATGTTTTATTAGCAGTCTCTGCATCAGTGCTAAAGTATCTGTAAATATCCTAAGTAATATCTCTTTGAAGAAGAATTTTCTTTTGCTTTAAATCTGTAATCAATTTCCTTTCAATAATATTTCTTTTCACCTCTAATTTTTAGATTCAATTAAAAAGTTTTGCTCTTCTAAAAAACTGCATATATTTTGAACATGCAGAAAGTTGCCAATGGTATTTCTTCAGTAATCACTGAGAATAAATTCAGAAAAACATTATAGAATGATATAATGCATTTTCAAATATATAATATGAATATTTCAAATTTCTAATTTCAAATATCTTTATTAACAGAGGAATTCATTTCAACAAAGACCTGCTCATATGACAAGAATTATTTTTTGCAATTTTTCATGCCTTTGAGTAGTGAAAAGTAGAAAAGATACTTTCTTATTACTACAGCTCACATTATTTTTAAACAGAATCATGGCTCACCAATGGCTGAGCAGTAAAATCCCTGAACACTGGTAGTTCCAACCTCTGTTCGATTCCAGACAAATGGGCTGACTGCATGGGTGTTTTCAGGGTTTTCTGCATGTGCAATGTGTATCCAAGACAGTTTTCCTTCACCAAGTCCTTCACAAAGGCATCCCTTTCTTTAGGCAGATAGCCCTAGTGTGCTTTGCCATAATCAACTAAGACAAACTAAACAGCACCAAAAGCCTTTTTTTGTTGCTGAAATTGGCCAAAACAGCAACCTTACTCATATCTCTAATTAAATAGCTGCCAAATAGCTAAAAACATTTCCTGATAGTAGCCATGAGAAGAGCTCCTAGTAAGACTGTTGCTTTGGCCCAATCCATTAACAAGGGGCTCTTTGCAACCTTTAAATAATGGATGCCTTAATAATAATGAAATACCACAGAAACAAAAATTTTTCAAACACTATGAAAGACTCATTAGAATCTTGTAAAACATGCCTATTCTGCAGCAATACCAATGAGAAATTTTTTATTTGTCACAAGCATTTTCTGGGTTTTTAACTATCAAAATATCTGCCAACTTCATAAAAATAAAAAGTAGATGATTTTAAAAAATTCAAAAAATTGTCATTTTACAGAGAAAACTAACCCATAGCTGACTATTTTGAGAAAAATTACACTGGGAAATATACTTATGATAAAAAAATTAGAATAAATGAAATTAATTTTAACATTATTCTGTTTTGGATGCAAAAATAGAGAATAAATTTAAATGACAATGTGATTGTATGCCAAGTGTACAAATCTGGTGACAAATTGCAAAACTGACACTATTTTCAGCACCTCTGCAAATAATTTCAAAATTTGTAAAAAGTTTATTTCATGCATATTTTAGAATCTTAGGACAGTTTCATAAAAATTACAAAAAAATCATAACATGGCAAATATGCAATAACCTTTTTGTCAACCTTTCCCTTACTTTGACTGTTCATTTCTTTTTCGGAGGAATGCTTTAGATGCTCCCGAATTGTTCCTTGCAGCAATGGACCAAGGACAGTTGTACTCTTCATGCAAATATTTGGTTCTAGCCAGATTTATACTGTTCTAATACTAGCTGATCTTCCCCCCTTTTTTAGTGCTTGAAGAATTTTATGTATACACTTCCTGAATTCCTTGATAACACTGGGTGGAAAGATACCTTTATGAAGTTTGACCTTCCCAAAAAAATGTCTTTCATAGTTTGTCAAAACATGATTATAAAGTCAGAATTAAATAAACTCTTTTTTTTTCAATGCAAACAGACAGTATACTTGTTGAAAATATCGTTTCATAAGATTAGGCAATAGCCAATCAGGTATCACAAACTTTTATTCGAGAGTGAACTATCATTTCTCACTGTTTATAAAGTCAATTTGTGAGGGCTTCACTAAGAGCCATATGCTTTGAATTTAATACTCATATCAAATGTAATTTATATTCAGAAAACAACTGTACAACTGTCTTAGGAAAAAAAGGGAACTATCAGATGAGAAAAATTGAGCAGCATTTACAAATTTTTGATGAAATTAAGCAAGAACAAAAAATCATTAAAAAATGTAAGGACTTTTAAGGACTGCACTAAACCTCTAAATGAATATTCCAATCTAATGCTTCGAAAACAATACATGTATTGTTCCCTAGACAATAATACATAATAAAAAATATCCCAATCTTTAAATTCAAACTTAATCCAGTTTAATAACGTTATTTATCTATCTTTCAAAAATAAAGAATAGAGTGGAAATGGCTTATAAAATACAAAAGAAGTACAATAAATAAATAGAAATGTTAAAAAAAAATGAAAATACCCAAAAAAATGTCTTTCATAGTTTGTCAAAACATGATTATAAAGTCAGAATTAAATAAACTCTTTTTTTCAATGCAAACAGACAGTATACTTGTTGAAAATATCTGTTTCATAAGATTAGGCAATAGCCAATCAGGTATCACAAACTTTTATTCGAGAGTGACTATCATTTCTCACTGTTTATAAAGTCAATTTGTGATGGCTTCACTAAGAGCCATATGCTTTGAATTTAATACTCATATCAAATGTAATTTATATTCAGAACAACTGTCTTAGGAAAAAAATGGAACTATCAAGATGAGAAAAATTGAGCAGCATTTACAAATTTTTGATGAAATTAAGCAAGAACAAAAAATCATTAAAAAATGTAAGGACTTTTAAGGACTGCACTAAACCTCTAAATGAATATTCCAATCTAATGCTTCGAAAACAGTACATGTATATTGTTTCCTAGACAATAATACATAATAAAAATATCCAAATCTTTAAATTCAAACTTAATCAGTTTAATAACATTTATTTATCTATCTTTCAAAAATAAAGAATAGAGTGGAAATGGCTTATAAAATACAAAAGAAGTACAATAAATAAATAGAAATGTTAAAAAAAAATGAAAATACAAATAAAATAATATGGTTTGTTATATTTCACATACACTTCTTTTAACTAATTACAAAAACATTATATTCACCATAGAAATAATAAAAAATTAATAATAGTTTCAAAAAACACTCAGTGTAGGGTGAGCAGTCCATAGATGAACTTTAACACGTTGAGCACAGCACCGAATTTACTGTCCTTTCCATTCAGCTGGCAGCGATCTAAGCCGTATTTTTATTTAGAATGTTTCAATACATTTCATTAAAACTAAATTTGATCACATTTCATTGAGACTATATTTATTCTTTAATACTGTCGGTTCACTGCCAGTCCCGAGGGACCGACGTCGGCCACACGGAAAGTTCACTGCCGGTCCCCAAGGGCCGGCGCTGCGCTCAACGTGTTAAGAATACTAATGTAAATAAAGCATCATTTATACTAACAGGTTGGTCTTTTTCTGCATCAAAAGCAAACTTGATTATGTGTTTGCCTTTTCCAGCATCAGGAACATCAACTTCAAAGTTGCCTGATTCATAGACTTCTATAAAAATATATACATAAAATAATGAATGCTAACAAATGTTAACATGTTTAACAAAGCCCTACTTTTATTTAAAAAAATTACTGTGAATTTCTTTTAACAATAGTTTATATTGCAGAGAATATTTAATAGTTATAAACTTAGACACACAAATAAAATCTGATTCTCTCAATTTATAACTTCCAATATGAATATTTTTGTGTGAATTAGATCTAGGTGTCCACAAATATATAAACTACAAAAGTTTTCCAAATTTTGATTTTTGATCACAAAATCATAACACTAGTAGTATCACAACACTATACACCGATTTTATATAAAAACAATGTAAAATATGTAGTAAATATATGTAAACTGTAAAATATGTAGGTAACCATAAAATTACCTTCTTCCAAAGGTACTTGAGGTAACATGAAACAAGTTAGCACCTTCTGACCAGTAGCTCTGTCAGTATCTGATTGAAGAGGAATTAAAGGTTTATTCTGAAAACAAAAGACAAATTTTTATGTTAAATTGTACAAAATATTTTATGTTTGAGGTTGAAGTAATTACATTAAGGAGGGCTTTCCTGTAAATTCATTTACATCTAACAAATTTTCTGGAACTTCTAATTTATAAGAAATTTACAGTAAGAAGGTATTTTAAATAACAGGTTAAAGGCATCAAAATTTTTATTAACTAAAAAATAGAATACCTGGTTTTCTGAAAGCCACAATGCTTGCAAGTTAGGAAGCTTAGCAATGCTGAATGGCAAATACTGCAAAAGATTACCACTTAAATTGATAACTTTTAATGCAGTGATATGTCCAAGCTCATCAGGTACTTGTACCAGTTTATTATCCCGCAAAGATAATATTGTAAGTTTCATGCAGCTTCCCATCTAAAATTACAATAATTCCCTATATTCAAATTATTAAAAAGCATGAACATAAAAGTTACTCGTAAGAAGTGTACACTAAAAATCTCATAAGAATTAAAAAACTTAAGAAAAAAAAAAAAAAAAAAAAGATTGATTACATAGCAGTTTAAAAATGCATAAATTAAGAATTTATAAATTAATTCAATAAAATTACACATTTATAAAACTGTATGCCCATAATAATAATGTGTTAAAAATGTAGTAGTGAAATGAATCTAAGTTTTATTAAAATAATAAAAATTATTTTATTCACATTTCTTTACTTATTTTGGACATAAACTGTAAAAATTTAGCCTAATGGTATACTACATTTTGGCAATTTTTGCTATTTATTAAGTTTAACCCCTTAACTGCCGCGGGCGTATATATACGCCTTGCTCAGCCGATGCGTTAACTGCCCCCCAGATGTGCCCAGATGCGCAGCCGATGCGTTAACTTTGCGAATAATTTTAGGTGTAGCAGCGCAAAGCAAATGATAGCAGTTTGGAAGGACGTATATATACGCCTGCGGCAGTTAACGCATCGGCTGAGCAAGGCGTATATATACGCCCGTGGCAGTTAAGGGGTTAAAATAAATCCAGAACTTCATCACTTGCTGTAATCTATTTGTCAACTTTCTTTTCCAGTAAGTGCAAACAGTGCTGATAGAGTAAAGTCTTCAATTTCATTATTTTTCAGTGCAGTGATAAAAACAAATCTTAAGTAAATATAGAGCAAATAAGTGAATCTTTCTGGTCACCTATTGCAAATGTTGTCAAAAGTTTAACTCCCTGTTGTAAATAAGTGCAGTTTTATAACTTGTAGTAATAAGTTGTTAGTTGTAGTAATAGCAAATTTCTGCATGACACAAATACACAGATCTGTTAAACAGTAGATGGTATGAGCAGAACTCAATGACAGCTTTTCAGAATTTTAAAACTAAGTTAATACAAGCAAACACAGTAATGAACATTAATTTCATTTTCCTATCTGTAGAAGTACATTACAAGGGAAGAATTCTTTTTCATGTGCCTTCAGAATTCATAGACTACATATTAATGAATATTAATTTCTCAGTCTATGCATAAACACAAATATAAATTAATGGAAATTTTCCTATAAAAATGATTTCAGAAAATTATTAGAGAAGTAAAAACAGACCTAAAATCTATGTAAATAATTTTGAACCACCCTGTACATTTCCAGGTGGTATTCATAAGACATTTTACAACAAATCCATTCAAAATAAAACAAAATGGCTTTAAACAAACAATAAAATAAAATACATATAAAGTTTAATATTGAATTTTATAAATTTAAGATGAAGCAACAATAAAGGTTATAAGGAAATAAGAAAGCTACAGAATTCTATAATTGGGATTCTATATATAAAGTTCTACAATGAAAATCACTCATTTGCAAAACATTTCATGCCTTGTCTCAGAACAAGCAGTATCTAAAATTTTATTTCACATTAGATTAACTCGCATTTAATTTTTAAATTAATGTAACTAACTATAAATTATCAGGAAAAAAAGACTATATATAAATTTCATGTTAAAAATTTACAACAGAAACATAATTTTAAAACACTCAAAAGCTGTATTAAGTCACATTTTCATAAATGATGTAATATTTCAGCATTCTGGAAAAAATGAAAACTGAACTGAGAACAAAATCTTTCTGTTTTATTTATTTACTTACGAAATACATTTGAAACAAAATTTTACTTCCACTTATGTTTTTAACACAAAATAAAATTAATTTAAAATGAAGTTACTTTACACAATTGAAATCCTACATGGCTTGCAAGCTGACGTTATATAAATTTTAGAATTCTGAATTTAATAAATTAAATTTAAAAAAAATATTAGACTTAAATAAATATATAAAATAAAATAAATACTCCTTTCTCGGTATGGAGCTCCCAAAAATAAAAGCAATTACTTTCAATTTTTGGTAGCAAAATAGTTATACATTTAAATAAATTTTAGTTTTATGTAAAAAGATGAGAAGGATTAAAAATATATAAAAAATATTATTTAAAATTTTTAAACACCTATTTACAAAAGCTTGTCCTACTTTTGAGTCTCCTTCCCCAGATAGTCCAAACATTATACACAGTCCTTCCTTACTGATCAGTCATGTAGTTCTGTAGTTCAAATTTTTTGCTATTAATATTGCATGAGAGTTTATTAAGAACTAGCCATTCTGATATGGCAAAAAAGTGCTATTTTTAGTTCTAGTCATAAGAAATTTTTAAAAATCTATTGTTTACCATACAATGCAGCAGCAGTCATTACTAAACATAAACCCTGGCATAAAATGCAGCTTGAAACAGCAATGGCAATCTTAACAATATACTAAGGACCAACTGCTGCTTGAAAGTACAGTGTTGGTCATATAAAATATAACAGCATAAAGCATAAGAAATCAAAGCCATATTTAATGGCTAAAATAATAGGAGATACAAGGATAAATTCATTAAAATAGCAGCCATATTCAACTTTTAGAACATGAAGAAATCAGCTATCAATCAGCTATCAGACATGTGTAGCTAATGCCAAGGCTGGCATCATATGCTATTACATGTCTCCCAATGAAAGAAGATTCTTTAAATGTGCATTTGGGGTATATCAGGCCAAGCTGTTCTCACACTGTGCTGAAGTTCATTTGGCATAGCCTCAGATGGCTCATTCAATTGCCAGTCATCAACTAGACCTGTTTCAGGAGCAACATATCAAGAAAACAGGTAACCCCAAGGCATTAGTATGATCTAGCGAATTATAAAGAATTGCTAAATGGTACATGTCACATATGATTATGCAATGATCTTTATATAAAAATGACTGCAGGCAAGTCTTAAACATATGGAAAGACCATAAGCCCCAGAGATTTAGCCGTGGCTGCTAAGTGTGTCAGCAATGCATATTAAATGTGTGAGAGTAAAACTCAGTGACATCCCAAAAGCATAACTCCATTGACAAACCAGTAGGTAATGTATAATGCAGTCACAATGTTTGTCACTATGGCAGAATCAAATTCAGATACAACTATGATCTCTACATATAATAAAAGAATGAGTCTGTCTGTGCTAATAGACCCACAGCTACGAAATTTGGTACATAGGTGCATCTAGACAAGAGCCAGTGCACCTCGAAGTGATTTTTTCGAAATTCGAATTAGATTTTTTATTATTTTATGTTTTGTGACGAAATCGCGTCATTTTGAAACATGATATGCTATAGGAAAGTGAGATTTTACTCTACACACTCCATTTTCACATCGTCATGAAACGTAGGCACTTAGCTGTTTTATGAATTTAAAATAAATTTCGTGTTTCAATAAATTGATTAAATACGAATTTATTTAAGAAAGGGATTTTTTCTAAAAAAGTTTATTTTTAAAAACGTACAGTTTATTTTTCTTTGATTTTTGGACACGTTAAACTTTCATCCTTGCGACTGCTTTTACAAAAAGAATTTTGGAAAAATGATAATATTTTGTATTTTTAAAAAGTTTTTTAAATGAAGCTTCCGAGTACATTTCTCACATCTCACATCTTTAAAAATGTGATTTTAGCAACAATTTTCCCTTTCTTATTGTTGTTGATAGATTTTTGATGAAATCGCATCATTTTGAACAGTTTCATTCTTTTAGAAATATTGGTTTGGCAACAATTTTTCATCGTATTTCTTATGTCACCGTCTTCTTAGGTCATTTATATATATATATAATACCTTTTTATTGATTTTTTTTTTTTTTTTTTTTTTTGATAAAGTTGTTCTGCAGAGTAAAATTCTGCGCGGAATTTTTCGTTTTTCGAGTTTCTTTCATGTTATGTTTTGCTCATGTCACTGTTTGTGAGATACTGAAAAGTTTTGCATAATTTTTTTTTCTTCTACGGAAAGTTGGTTAATTTTTATATTAGGATAATTAATATTTGTATTAAGGGATATAGCTTATTTCATTGTAATTTTTTTCTCTTGAAAATATAAGATAAAATATCATTAATTATACTTTGCTTTTCAGAATTTTTTCTTTTTTGTATTCTTTTATGTTATTTATTGCTCATTTCACTGTCTTTAAGATATTGAAAAGTTTTGAGTGATTTTTTTAGGAAACAAAGTTCTTAACTTCCTTTATAACATTTGAGTTCTTAAGATTTTGCAAAGGGAAGTTGGTTAATTTATTTATTAGGATAATTAATATTTGTATTAAGGGATATTGGTTATTTTATTGTACGTTTGTTATACCTAATAACTTTTTTTATGAAGTTGTTCTGCAGAGTAAAATTCTACACAGTTTTTAAATTTAACGTTTGGTGTTCCCTTCAGCCATTTTTCCGGTTCATTTAAAAGCCAGACGAAGGCTGGCAGCGAAGCTGCTATTACAGAATAGAAATTTGTCTGAAAAGACAATATTTGCTATTTATTTGTACATATCTAGCATTCAACATATAACTGCAGCTGCATATGCCTGTGGTGTAGAGTCAATGATAACGGATGTCTTGGAAAAATTCCTCTCTACTTCAGATATCAAATAGTGCTGCTGACATTACTGACATCACGCAGACAAAATTTGTTGCAACCCCCCCCCAATTTTTGCATCAAAATTCTTGATGATGATCCATTATGCATGACATGCATGTCCTCAAATAAATCGTGTGACAAAACTACAGAAACCACTCTCAGTGATCGATCTATCAATTCAGCTTGCTTTGATCCTACATGAACATTTATTCTTGGAAGATTCATTTGCATTCACTAATCAGTTTAAGTTATCTGCAATTTACATCACAGTTCTTCATCTGTCAAACACAAAAATTTGCTTGCCCTTTTCCTGAAGAGGCATACTAAAGCTTCCTATGCAATATGCAAAGGAATAGGGAAAAACACTTGAATTTAACGGCAGATAAAATTTTGGCAACTGCCAAATTCTAAGATATGTCTCAGCTCCTTTATCAAAATCTGGCAGAAAAAACATGTCTGTATTGAAATATGTTAAGTGAGAATGTTTGGCATCGTTCACAATATAAGGTTGTTATCTTTGGTATGACTGTGCACATTCTGGCAACTGTTCCATTAATAACAGAACAAAATTCCCAGAAATAATTTCAATTTTTATAACTTAGTGACTTCTGGAAAAAAATTCCTTTTTTGATAATTATAAAAACATATTTGCTAAAAATGTGCATATCTTGCCATAAATTATCAAAGCCATCCACATTTCACCGTTAACATTTGAGAGACTGTGCAAATTTCAGGCATTAATGAATTTTGGGCTTTTACTGTATCTGGAATGAAACTATGAGAATTTGACTAATTTCCAAACCATGTCTAACAGCCTATTTAACATGAAGTACAATTTTATGTTTTAAAATGTAGGATAAGCTTTAAATAACATTAAATGTTTACATTTCTAAGAAAAATACAAATCTGATGACATATAAACACTGAGCTTGTCAATAAATACAGTTTACTACAGAGACAAGTATAATTACATTCAGTTCACATATAAATAAACAATATATACTTCATAAGGAAGTTCTTCCAAAAGATTATCATCAGCAATCAATGTCCTTAAGTTTCTTAATAATCCAAGACTAGCAGGTAAAGTTTTTAGATTATTTGAACTCAATACTAATTCTTCCAGATTAGCTATGCTGTAATGAAAAAAAATATTAATGTAAATATGCATGCATATGCACATAAGCATACATACACTCATACATATATGTAATATAAGCATATAAGTAATTATTTAAAAATAAGGCTTTTTCTGTTAACAGGGCACCAGTTGCAAAAGTGTGCCAGAGTGCCAATGTGACAACATATTCATATTGCATCCAAATACTCAATATTCATATTGCATCCAAATACTCATGCAACAACATCACTGCAAATAAGCAGGAAGGACAAACATCAAAGCAGAAATTTTTTCTCCAACATTTTCAGTCGCTTTTATATTCAAGTGATCTTTCTTGAGGAAAGAATCAGACACTTGTAAGGCTGTAGGGCAGTACAAAATGCTGAAATAAATGTTAACCTGGCGCTGCCCACCACCATTTAAGGGTCTAATGTAATGAGATTCAAACAGCAATGACTGCATGAGAAGATACAAATGTTTCTGACAATATTAAATGAAATCTGTAGCTTTATCTGAAATATTCTGGTAAACTTATGTTTTTGTGTTTGACTTTGTTTTTTACATTTATTCTGGATTTGGCATTCTGCAGCCATTCTTTTCATAAAGGTGTGCATATCTTTACAGCTGCTATCAAGTTAGATATTCTGCCAATGTTTATGTTCGGAACTAAGCGGCATCCCCTTAACAGAAAAGAACCAAAAATAAAACCAACAGCATTTTTAAGTAGGCTAAAAGCTGCAGTAAATAAATATTTGAATGTGATAATAATAAACACTTTAACTAATACATAAGAGTCAATCAGACAATTTAAAAACACAAACTGTCAAAAATTACATAAATATAAAAGCCAAACCAAAAATAAAGTCTACAAAAATAAAACTTAATGGAACATTATGTGAAAAGACTGTAAACGATTATTTAAAAACTAACTTAAGATTACAAAATTGAATTTATAAGAGTTCACCTAATAAATCATCAAAAAAATCATGTAAAAATAATAATCCATACATGAAAGTTTTTCCTATTACAGTTCTGTTACTTCTGAAAGCTATGTGATTTTTTACATATTTTGTTTCTAATAATTTTATTATATTTTTGTTACACATTTCTGATTGGCACTAGCATATTAATTAGTTTATTATTATCTTTTTCATCTATTACATGTGCAAATACATGCAGATTTGAAGTCTACTTGAACTAATACATTGAATAAACACTTTCACGCAATAAATATGCATTTAAATCAGCACAAAATCTTTACTTTTTAGCAACACACAAAAATGCAAATACAACTGCACATTACATCTTTAGAATTATGAATTCTTGTCATTGCCAATTTAAAAAAGACAAAGGCATTATTTAAAAATATACCACATTGCCATTTGCTTGCAGATGGTTAGTCAAATGTTTTATGATTCCCACATTCGGCCGTCCCGATTACTTCTTTTTCATTTTGAAAAATTCCACTCTCCCTTATTGTCTTTTTCTTAACATCCTCCTCATCATCTAAGAGCCATCCAGCCAGTATGGTGGATAGCCCTGAAAATTTTTCATCTTGAAAGAGCCCACTTCCCCACATATTGTTTTTTGTTAACATCATTAGCATCATCTAAGCACCAACCAGATGGCATAATGGATAGTGATGTTGACTACCTTGCTGATGGGTTAGAATCCTGGGAAAGGCATGGATGTTTGTTAGCATATAGTATCTGTGTGGCAAGGAGCTCTTAAAATACATAGCAAAGCAAAAATTCTCCAAGAGGTTGGTGGTAGAAAAAGAAAGGTGGATAATCATTGGACTGCCCCTGCCCTGTTCTCCCTGAAAATCGGAGTGGAACTATGCATTTAGTGCAGTGGGACTATACATGTATGATCAATGGTGAATTGCTGGTGTCCCGCCTGCTCCTAATTGCACCTGTATCATCATCCAAGTCTAAATCAAATACATCAACAGCAATGTTACTATCATAACTCTCTAACTCATGATTATGCTTCATGTGACAGAAACATAGAAAGTCTCTCTCAACTTCTTTGCTTATACCATTGAAAAGAAGAGAGAAAAATGAAAAAGTATCCCCTCCTAATTAATAAAAGGAGAATATATTTATTACAAACTTGCAGACTATGGTTTCATATAGTCAATAGCATTTTCCTCCTGTATGCAACTAATGGCAGTATTTCAATCTACAGGCTGGCACTCATATTTAAAATGTCTTTAGAAACAATTTGGTGATTTGAAAAATTATCATATTGACAGGAATGCCAGACACAAATAACTTACGTAGATTTATTATTTTTTTATTGACATTCCTGTTCTGACCTGTGTTTGCTTCTCTCAACCAGCAATATTTAGTGAAGAAGCTGACCTTGCACTTTTATTCTCTACAGCTTTCAACTACTACTTTTTTTGTTTCTTTCTACTACAAGACCTTGTAATTTTCCTTTGCTTTTGCTTCACTACTAAATTTAAAAAATGCAAATAATACCTTCTACTTCTTAGCATCAGTTTTTTTATATGACAGCATCTATAATGAAGTTAAAAATGAGTTAAAATGCTAATATTGACACATTGGAATCATGCTTAAACATAAACAGAAGTACAAGAACTTTTTAGATAAACCATCTGCTTCATCAGTTGGAGCTGGAATGGTTTGGTTTGGTTTGATTTATTTAATTATGGCAAAGCACACTAGGCCTATCTGACTAAGGGGAGGGATGCCTTCGTGGAGGACTTTCTAAGGGAAACTGGCTTGTATACATGTTACACATGGGGAAAACCATGAAAATGCCCATGCAGCCAGCCCGTTCATGGGATTCAAACCTCAGGAGCTGGAATGGATGGTTTTATCATGTTCAAAATCTCTTATTTGCAGAGTTGCAGTACTCAGAATTGACATCTAGATGTATGAAAGATAGAAGGGAAGGTTACTGTTGCAATGTGGCTTGGTAGTAATGTCAAGCGCTTCTTTAATTTTAAGGCTGTTTTTTATGCTGGAGTTTGGCTTTGTCCTATTCACTTACTGCACGTGAAAGCTTAGTGAACTATTTGACTAGAGATGACTATTTTCGTTGATGAATTGGTTGGTAGAGAGCTTGGAAATAGCTTTTTTAAGTTCTGCAATCTTTATCAATAGTTTCCTGGATGAGTTGATATATTGAGTTTCTGTGCTTGTATCTTTGTCGTGAATCAGGATAATTCATACCCCTGAAGTATCTATTATAGCAACATTTGATTTATCTGATATTAACAATTTCCATATAGATGGGGCTGGCCTAATCGCAAGTTTATAAGCAAATCTTTTAAACATGGAGCAGATATATGGAGGGATCAGGCAGTAGGTAAAAGTTCCAATAAATTTACTATTTGATGCTTGCATTGTGAGCAACTTTACTTTTTGAAAAATAACTGTAGAAGTTTGTTACAGCTTGTTAATATGCACTAAGAACACATTATTATAATTTTGCAAAGGAGACCTAATGTCAGTATGAAATTTACAGCTTATTCATAATGGCATAATTTCCTGTATCTTATAAGGCATTTGTTCATCTCCTCACTATTTCAATATTCATAAGAATTTTTTGCAGGTACTTTGGGGAGCTATGACTAAAAGTTCTATTTACTTCTTTCTGAAAGCATTCACCTGCTTCATGGCCAAATCATTTACATTTATAACACCTTATTAAATTGGATTCTTTATTGGTTGAGAAGAATAGCTTGATTAAACCTTTTTCCTAGTTCAAACTCAGCAGTGAAAAACTCAATTATCTAAAATTTTTTCACTTTTATTTGAATCTTTTCTAAAATTGTAACATGCTACTTCATATGAATCAAATTCATCTACCATTTTAATATTTTAATTTCAGGTACAAAGTCTAGAAAATGTTCAAGAATCTCATTTGATTATTTCCATTTTAACTGATAAGCAACTATATTTTTTTACATGACCATAGGTTTTTTCCTTCTTCTTCTTCTTCTTTTTTTTTTCTTCTAAATCTTGCATCCATTCCTCAAAGAAATTGTTTAACTTAAAATCAAAATTATGCCAAGATGCAGAAATTTCTTTCTTATGTGAAATACATTTTTAACTGAACTGCTCTGGAATGCTCTAAGTTTGAAAACCTTACGAAATACTCTTTTAATGTAATTATAACTATTTCGAACAAATCAGGCTTCTGTGAGCAATAATTTCCCAGTATCTAACAGGAATAGCCTTAAAAAAGTGTGACTGAGTCTTCTTTCAGCATGTTCATTTTATCAATCTTCCATAGCAAATCCTTACTTTTGTTATTTCTAAGAGCTTCAGAACTGTCATTTTGCTGCAACTCATTTGTTAATTCTAGCTTTCTTGATTCAAACCTATGTTTTCCTTCTTCTAATTTAATTTTCTCCTCCCTTTCTCACTCTGTGATAGCTGCATTCAATAAATTTCTGGTAATCCTCATCATAAATTTCAGCCTCAAAAATTATACTGCATAACTTGCTATAATTGTTAAGGTAAGCTTTGAATTTGGAAAGTAATTAAATACAATTCATCTGTCGATGCAATTAAACCAAGCTAAAAAGTTTTTGCTAAATAAAACATTTTCAAAAATAAATAAAAACTGTACTCAAGAGTTTGAAGCTTATTAGCTAAGAAACCTTATTTTGTAGCACACAAAACTGAAAACACAACTGAATATTACAGTTTTAGAATTCTGAGCTTCCACATAGCTAAAAATATACATAATTTTAAAAAGGCATTCTTCAAAAAATATATATTAGTGCTGTTTAGTGGCAGATGCTTATTTAAATGTTTTATTATTACCACATAGTTAATGTGTGTGTATACATATATATAAATAAATAATACATACAGACACATGTATTACTTATAAAAAAACAATTATGTATAAACAAACCACTAAATTGCATAACACTGTTAAACTAATAATAATAAAAACTTACTTTCCAATATTTTCAGGCACTGAAATCAGACGATTTTCATCTACTCTCAAAACAGACAGTTTCTTTAGATTAGCTGCAAATTTTGCATTATGTTACTTTCATATTAACAGAAAAATACAGAAAACAATGTATTTAATTCACTTTTAACAGTAAAATATATGCATACTCATTAATTGTGTTCAAAGATACAATAACAACATTAAATATAACCCTATTATCATTTTTCTCCCCCTCAAGACCTGTAGGCTGCCTCAATATGGCGAGGGGGTGGCACTGGGTGGAATAGGGAAGTACGTCACGAGTGTATACTCCTGGTAAGGCCACCCTAGGCGTGAAGGCTATTCCACTATACCCAGCTAAAGCCTACAGGCATCTGAGCTAAGTCAGTCCTCTACCATTGGTGCTCGGGTCTCATGACTTACAGAGGCTGCCCTTTTTCTCCACCCACGAGTCATGAAGCTTTCTAATGTGATCCATACTGCATAGCCCGTCATGCAGGTTCAAAAGGGGCACGTTCATGGTTTAGGAAAAGAACCTTGTCCGAAAAATAAGCTACAGTCTCCTAGATTACGAACTTTTAAAATTATCCAATATAATGTTAATGGTATTTCAACATTGGCAGCGAAATTTAAACTTGACCAAATACTGAAGTTGGCTGAAGACCAGGGAGCTCAAATTATCGCTCTGCAGGAAACTAAACTGAAAGAGAATTCTGAACTAAAAGTTAAGGGATAGAACATCATCCGTTTAGATAGACACGCGAAAGGAGGTGGTGGCCTTGTTTTCCTTATCAGAGACATTAACTATATTTCCAAAAGTTATAATGTACCCACTGGTTCAGATTTAGAGTTGCAAGGCGTCACTGTTTTGTGGAGAGGTGAACCACTAAACATCTTTAATTTATATCACCCTCCCAACATTGGTAATCTGTCTGGAGTCCTTGATAATCTTTTATCTGGAAATACTCTACTTCTGGGTGATTTAAATGCTAAGCACCCAGTGTGGGATTCCTCTTCCCAGAACCAGAGAGGACTTAATCTTCTTCATTCTGTTGATGACTCAGGTTTCATGATCCTTAATGATGGTACTCAAATGCACTCTTCATATAGCTATAACACATCTGAAGCCCTTGACCTGTCTATAGTAAGTCCCACTATCTTTCCAAATTGCACCTGGACAGTTATGAGGAATATTGGGAGTGACCATTCTCCAATATTAATTGAAATAAAGAAGAAACAGTGTACTTTCCTTAATCGTAAAAAATATTGGAATTTTGCTAAGGCAGACTGGAAGGCATTTGGCAGTCTTGTTGACACCCTGGCTGAACCTAGCATTCACTCAAGAGACCATGATACTAACTGGATTACTTTTAAGAATATGCTCTTTGGGGCAGCTAAAAGAACTATACCTAGAGAAAGGGTAAAGCTTTTTAATCCTTACTTTACTCATGATTCGCTGATTTTGCAGCCTTTGCTGCAGAAGAGAACCTGCGACTCGAATTGAAAAACAATAATACAGAGCAAAACAGGACAGAGATGAACAAAGTCAATGCAGAACAAAGTCAATGCTACTTAAGAGGAAAAAATGGATGGATATATGTGAGGGACTTGATGCTAGATCATCTGACAAGAAATTGTGGAAATTGATCAAGAATATTAGCAGTGAACAACCTCAGATAAAGAGATGTAATGCTACCTTAGATATGGATGGCAACATCCCTATAGACGAAAAAGCTGTGACTGATCTCCTCGGAGGCACATTACCAGGAGATAAGTGAGATGACTTTTACAGAAGTTGATAAAAAGTGAGAAAAGGTCTCGAGATCTTGCACATGGATGTTGTAGTGCTGTCTCGGCAATCCCCTTTTCTTTAAATCCTTCTCCATGCATGAATTGGAGATGGCACTTGAGGATCTTGCCTTGAACAAAACTCCTGGACCTGATGGTATCCATGGCCAGATGATTGGGCATCTTGGCACTCATGCAAAAAAGAAATTTCTGAATATAGTAAATCAATCTTGGAGTCTTGGATGCCTTCCTAAAGAGTGGAAAAGAGCCACAATTATACCTGAGAAACCTGGCCAAACCGATGGATCTCCTGGGAGCTTTAGACCCATTGCCCTAACCAGCATTGCATGTAAAGTCATGGAAAAAATGATCATGGAGCGGTTACTCTTTCACCTGGACACCCACGACCTCCTACCAAAAGAACAATATGGTTTCAGAAGAGGTCACAGCACCACTGATCAACTGGTCTATCTCAGCCAGAGATGCCCAAAACAAGTGACTTACCAATCATACTGTGGCTGCTTTTCTAGACTTGTCAAAGGCGTTTGACCGTGTCTGGAAACATAAAATAATAGGTAAACTCTAAGAAGATTTTGGCATCAGGGGTAAAGCCTTGATCTGGATTGCAGATTTCTTAAGAAATAGACTGATAAAAGTAAAGCTTAATTCCACTATGTCAAACGCCTTTAAATTGAGCCAAGGCGTCCCCCAGGGTTCTTGTGTTGAGCCCAATTCTTTTTCTGCCTGTATTTGGCTGGAATTGAGAAGATTATATCAAGAAGATGTGAGGTTGCGGATGATACTACAATTCTGCGGAATGATATTGCCCTTTGGAGCTCTGGCCCAGGATGTGAGTTTCAATTGAGACCAATATAAATTTTATCCTTGAAGAAGTGTGGAAAATTCTCAGAAAGACCACAAATTGAGTTTTAACCCAACTAAATCTATTGTTAGTTTTTTTACCACCAATAAGAAGATTTATAATTATCATCCAAAACGTTTTATGAATAAATTTGCCTATGTACATATGACAACCATCCCAAATATTTGGTCTTCGTTCTCGATCCAAAGATCACTAGTAACAAACATGTGGATGCACTGGTTTTTAGGGGCAAAAAACGACTAAACATTTTAAAGTACATCTCGGGACGTGATTGGGGAGCCGATGTTTGCACTTTGAGAACTACTTATTTAGCTATCAATGACCACCTATTTTTGAATACGGTTTCCCCGTTTACTGTTGTGCCTCTTCTACCAACCTCCAGAAATTGGAAAGAGTCCAACTCAGTGCTTCTCGTATTATAATCTGGCCTATGCACAAGAGTTGCCCGAATAAAAATTACGTTGTATGAAACAGACCTTCAACCCCTCAGCCTAAGAAGAAATGCAGGCCTCATAAAATATTATAATAAACTTCTCAGTTACGGCTCCCAGAATAGAACATCAGAATTTCTGCAGCACTGGAGTAATAACCAAACACTTAAGAAAAATAGTCCACTTAGACAAATTGAGTATGCTGGTATAATTGACTGTAATGTTGAGCAGCATTCCTTGAAACAATGTTTAGATCCATCTGAGGGACTCCCAGGAGTCAGGTTCCATGAGGAACTTTCGTCTCGAGTTTCTAAGAAAAATTATATTCCGGCCCTGTTATGACAATCTGCCTTGGAAACTATACATGCAATTCCCGCTGAAGCTACCCTCATCTATACTGATGGGAGTGAAAGCGAGGACTCTCGTTTCGGTAGTGGTGTTGTCATTAAATGCACAAATGGAAATATTGTTAAAATAAAGAAAAGAAATTCTGACTTCAGTTCGGATTTTAAGAGTGAACTTATAGCCATCGAAGAGGGACTAAATGCTGTTTTGTACTTTACAGATCTTAAGGCAGTATGGATTTTGGTGACAGTCGTAGCGCCTATCCAAATATCTTTCAAACTGGCAAAGCGTTGGTGATAAGGGCCTGGAGCCATTGCAATTCTTGGCAAACTTCAGGCAGGTCTCGTCACTCTGTGAAGTGCACCTTCAGTGGATTTCCTTCCCATGTTGACATATGGGGGAATGAAATGGCAGACATTCTGGTGAAGAAGGCTTTCTGAAGAACCCTTTACCAGTTACCAATTCATTGACATATCTGGAACTGTACATTCCATTAGAAGACGTGCTAGACAGGCAAATTTGGCTCATTCCCCGGAGTCATCCCTGGTATCAAACTGATTGTCCTGGAAGATTCCTTGCTATGGATTGCAAAAGATGTGTTCAGACAACACTTTCCCGATTCTTCATTGAGCACCTGAGGGGACTTACTTTTGAGAGTGGTATCAAGATGCACCCAATTTGTTCTAAGTGTCACAATGCACCCACATCACCGGCACATATCCTTGAGTGCCTGGAGTTGTCTCTTGTGGACCTTTACGGGTCTCCTAAGCTTGTTTTTGATTTTTTAAAGGTGAATGGACTCGTGGAACTCGTCTTGTATTTCTAGGCATGGAGATTAGTAACAACAACAATCATTTTTCTTAAGAATGCAACTAGTTATGTATAAATTTAAATAACAATATTTTTTATTTTAATATGAAAAATATGGCTTTCAATCTCTTACTAATATTTTGAAGAATCATTGAAAATATCACATAGGTAGTTCTTACAAAATCAATCAAAAGTGAAACTACTTGCGAAGTTATTATTATTTTGCATAAACAGTTACTTTATGATTTATATCTTCATTGTTACTTCTTTTTCGTTTTCTCAGCAAAATGCAAATTAGTTTGAGCATTTAAGCTGAGTTTGTTTAGATCGTGAGACAGAGCATGTTTCTTTCGGTGTGCGTGCACGTTAAGTTCCCCCATCTCTGATAAGCCTGAATTATTTAGCTTTGCATTATGATTACTGAATATTTGATTAGTTATGCCAGTTAGATTTGTGAGCCAACCTTGCATTACATTAAACTGTGTAGTCTTTGACCACAAGCTTTTTTAAATTTTACATCGACTGCTACTTTAAGTTATCTCGCCGCAAATGCTGGCTGAGTTTGTCAATAATGAGACATGCTCTTCAGTTAAATTTCTGATTTTAATAAAACAGTTGTTAAAACCTTTTTAAGGTTCTGTGTGTTCACTTCCTGACATTATGAAAATTCACTTAATGTCTATAAGGAGTTTGTTATTAGTTAATGCAATCAAAGAAAGTCAGACTCTGTTATTTTAAAATCAAATGAATGAAGGTCCATGGAGCAGTTTTCCTCTTTTAATTAAAACATAAATAATTATATACGCATACATACATAGGGTAGGCTAAAAGCATAAATCCAATTACAAAGCTTGAAAAGCAGGAACTCAATAGTTCTTTCAAATAATTCTAACACTCTAATCTACTACACACTGCAGTTCAAATTCTAATAAAAAAGAATCAATTACTCATCAGTTTTTTTACACTGCCACATGCCCAGGCAAGCATGAGATAAAGAATTGAACGGACAGACTTGTAACATCAACTTCTGGCATATCAACAAATATTTCTCAACACACTTTCCATCTGAACTCTGACAAGAGTTAAACTAACTAAATTATACAAACACATATAAAAATTACTTCTCACAATGTACAAATATTTTAATCAATCAAATGTTAAATTACAAAAAAAAAAAAAAAAAAAAAAAAAAAAAAAAATTATACATGTATAAATTAATTGTTACTACAGTAAAAAGTCGTTAATCCGGACTCGTCGGGACTTCAGCGATTCCGGATTATCGATTTTTCCGGATTATAGATCATCAGTTTAAATATGGTGAGATGGCATGCAGAAATTCTAAAATTAAAAATATCGAAACCGTGATTTATGAAATAATGAGTATTTATAATCTAAAGGATATCACAATTTTGACAAAAAGAAAGTTTAATATTTATTTGTTTACTTTATTAAGTAAAGTAAATTACTACTAGTAAAGTACTTAAAAAAGAAAACATTTCTTTCAGTTGCTTCGTTTTTTTTTTTGTGCTAACACTTTTTCTTTAATTCTATTAAACCAGACATAATTTCTTGTTCAGTTACAAAGTTCCGCTGTTCAAGTCCTATAATTGCTGAGTCGAGAATACCGACTAATTTGTCAATCGAAATTTTTTCGTTTTCAATAACCTCTGCATCACTTTCTTCACTATCGGAAGCAAATTATAGGAACTGGATTTAAAAAAGAATGAATGATATCAAAGAAGATTTAAAAAAGAATGAATCATACTTATCATATCAAAGACGAGTACATCGAGATGAAATACTACATTTAGTAAGGAATTATAAGCCAAATAAAATAAAAACATCTGCCCTGAAGATAAGGATAGTGCTGACAGATCAACTTCCAATTCATTGCGCGTTGCGTCGTTTCCCTCCCCCAGCAGAGCAGCATGAAACTGATAAACAGATTTCGGAATGATTAGATAATCAAAGGATATCTGCAACATTAGCTGAATGAGATAATTTTAGCTTAGCTTATACTGTCCGTTAGACATTAAACGTGCATGCGTAAATGCATTATGCACATGTGCACACACATATTCGCAGCCGTAAAGGTCTTACGTGCATGCGTAAACGCCTATGCGCATGCGTCAATATGACGCATGTGCAGAAAGTTTGTAGCTTTGAGGTCCGGATTATAGATCATTCCGGATTATGGGCGTCCGAATTAACGACTTTTGACTGTACTAATAAAATGGATTAAAATGGTTAAAATACGTTTTAAACTTAACTAAACTAACTACAATAAAGATATTCAATTCAAGCATTAAATAAACTAACAAAAAAGAAATATATTAAAAAAATCAATAGAGTTCAAATCTGTCAGAAATTCGAATTCAAGGGGGTAAAGGTGTTGGGTAATATATTTGTACTTTTGACTAAAGATTCAAGTTGATACATATCACTGATTTTTTTTTGGGGGGGGGATTCCAATTTGGCTTCATCTATCGTTTCTCTATTGTTTAGTTTTGGCCAGAGGTCAGGTGAGTATTGAAGCCACTGTGGACCTTACATTTAAATGGGTTCATTTATTAACTTAGAGATCTTTGCCTCTCCAGATATGAAATCTGCAGTGCTATTGACACCTGGGCAGTAATGCTTACCTTCACATGAACTTCAGATTTTTGGATTTATTTGGCATGATTCTTGACAAAGGGTTTGATGATTCAAAAATAGAATAATAATAATGAAATAAGTCTTTTACGAGCCTGTGCAAAAACAACATGGGATTTTCAACTTCAATGTTTTCAAAATATGTTTGCCTAACTTGCCTGCTAACAGTGCCTACCCTTAATTCTAAGCTTGGAAATATAACTGATCTTAGGAAGGTTACCCTACTTGTAAAAGTGACAAAGGCAGTTTTAATTTCTTTATTATTTATCATGAAACGTACGTATCCAACTGTACCATAGGCTGTATCATGTAATTTTGTACCTGTATCTGAGAATTCAGGATTTTTAATATTAATTGCTATGCCTAGATCCAGTTTCCTACAATATGTGAACTGCTTAAGTACAGACGTATGTCTTTGGATACTAGACAGATGAACAACTTTCTTCGTGTTCAAAGAAAAGCAAGAGATTCCCAAAACCAAAGATAAAAGAACACCTGAAAGCACTCATTTAATTACTTTTGAAAAACAGGTGATTACACCACCTTAACAAAATCATGCTTAAAGAATGATTTTTTTGGCATGAATTTATATTTCAAGAAACTCTCAAAACATCTGCGTCCATAATCCGATCAACAGTATGTATTAAGCAATGCTGTCATCAACAAAAAGGCATGCACTTTTGAGTGGGAATAAGAATTTCATCTCACTACGAAGGTAACCATCTTACACAGATGCCACATTAACAAGAATGCACTCCATAACAAACTTCTAAATTATCATAATTTTAAGAACTATCTTAATTTTAAATATCTCCTTAATTATATAACATGATAAAAATCTCTTAGATAAGTTAGATTAAAATTTAATAATAAAGATGATAAAAATACAGAAAATATATATGATTATCATTTGAACACCAGTCAAATAAAGCTGCAAACAGCTCTATATCAGCTTAATGAATATTGCAGTCCTACAGGCAATGATTTTATTATTAATACTGATTAAATATTTATTTCATCAAACACTTCTTTGTTTTTAATCATACCTAATTATATGGGAAAATTTAACTGGGCTAATAAATTTAATTATTGGATAACTTATGTAATGATATATCATATTTAAAAATTAAAAATTTTAAAATGACTGTCAAAATACTTCTTAAAATATGCACTGTATAGTAAGAGATTAAAAAATAGAAAATGTATAATGAAAGTATGTTTAAATAATGATGAATAGCATATATATATTGTACATTAAAATTTCAAATAAGAAATATGATAGTGAAAAAATTCTCTAAAATAAAAATTAAGATGCTTAGATAAAATATATACATACCTATACCGTCAGGAAGTACTTTGATACGATTTGATGACAATGTCAGATCACAGAGGTTAATGCATCCTTCAATTTCATCTGCTACTTCATAAATTTTGTTTTTACTTGCATCTAAGTAAGCTAACTTCTTAAGACCTCCCAAAAACTAGGGATAGAAATTAAAAAAATGTTTTAATATGATACAGTTTGTGAAACTTTTATTAGTGCATATAATAAAAACAAATGTATTGTCACATTTTTTAAAAAATATTTTGCTAATTTCAGTTTTAAAAGTAAATTAATCTCGAAGTATTTAAAATTAATGAATTATATGTCTTAAGAAAGAAAATTTATAAATCTGTAATATATGGAATATACTGAAATACATATTTAAATCTAATTACAATATAATACCCGAAATCCAGACATTCAATATCAGAATCCTTCAAAATTCAGACTTCTAGACCATCAGCATTTTTTTTTAGGAACTTTAAGAAATGAGGACATAATAGCAAAAAACACAGGAATGCCATAAAAGTAAATATTCTCCTGACTGGCTGAGATTTTTGTATGTCACTTTAACGATAATACATGGATAAATACTTGTATTAAAACTTGCATTTAGCTGCTAATTTTTAGCAGCTCTTTCCAGATGTCTCAGTTGATCATATGAAGAGGGTTGAAGATTCCAAAGTTTATCTCTTAAGAAAATTTGACAAAAAAGGGAGGGGGGTCACTTTCACCATTGAAAAAGTTACTATATTGTGATAAAATTAACTGTGTCAGTACAGGAGTAAGTTCGGCTGAAGACGGAGATGGGCATGTCTTCCAGCAAGCACTGAGTACATGATCTTGAGGAGTAATCAGGAGCCTTGGGTTAATGTTTAGTAAGCAGCAGCAAAAAAAAAAAAAAAAAAAAAAAAAAAAAAAAAAAGAAAATATGCGAGGTAACTTTGTAAGTCCAGTATTAAAATAATTACACATTTACTTTCAACATACGAAAGGCAACAGGCAGCACACTTGTTTAGTAGTAGTGTTACATTTCCCTTTTGTTTCCTAAGAAATTATTAATTGACATTAGCCACAACCATGCTTCCTGCTTTTCAATGGTTGTGGAGAGAACAAGGAATATTTTTTTATCTGACCTACACAATAAGCAAAGTGCCAAGATGTATTTGTTTGAAGTGGAGTATTGCTCATACAGGTTTGCTTGTTGCAAAAGAAGCAGAGGGAAGAAAACGAATTAGATTTTGCTGAACTTAAATCCTTTTAACATACAAAATTGCATTCTTCCTTAATTTTGTAATTTGATACAGCTTATTTTTTGCAGGCTATTATTATTACAGCTATATTATCAAAATTAAAGTTTGATTTTTGTTTATGTCAAATATAGTTTCTAATCATACAGCTATAGCAGGATCTGCATAGGAAAAGCATATTTACTTGCCTTCTACAGCAGCCTTGGTCCAAATCAGGCTTAAGAAGGTGAGAATTCAAAATCAGGCAAAAACAATACCCTTATTTTGACTAGATTTTGAGTGCTACAGAAGGTGAAATTTTTTCATTTAATGGAATTTGGGAAGAAATGTGGAGAAATAAGAATAAATGAAGATGATATGACAAATGTTTTCCATTGCGATCACAATGCCCCAATCAGCAATCAACGACCTTTGAAAATGAAAAGATTTCAAATGATAGTTTAATAGGAACTCTTGACATGACAATTGCAGGATTCGAACAGTGGAAATTTGTAACTGAAGAAGAAATTAAGTATATCTACAAAATTAAAGATAAAGTATTACCACAAAAATCAAAGAAGTTTAAATTACATTGAAAGAAATGTTTAATAAAACAAACATTAAATACTGAGCCTTTTTTGGAGGAGGCTAATTGTACTTGTTTAAATTCCCAATAAACAGCATTATGCATTCTGCAGAGAACTTCAGAAACAAACTGCTGAGAAGGAAATCTTTAAAATGATTACTAAATACTTTGATTACAAATAAAAAAAATTAAATTCTAAAAACTCTACAAATTTATGTACTGATGGTGTGGCTGCAAAGATAGAAAGTTTGAACCAAAATTTTTTATTTTCAAATAATATGTATCTTTATTCATAGAGAAGCTCTCATGTTTAATAATTTACCTTTAGAATTAATGTCCATAATGGCAGATAAAGCAACCATTTCAATCATACCTTTTTTCAATTTAATATAAAGAAATCGGATAAGAGTATTTAAAGAGGTCATCATTGAAAAGGCTTGATCATGAATTGCATGTAGTTCTGTTACCACAGGCCCAGATTAAAAAAATTTCAAAGACACGAGCCCAATTATGTCAATGAAATAAGAAGATAATGAATGCAATACATGCAGTGTTCAGAAGAGCTGTACACGGGAAAATAAATTTTATCAAGCTATCATTGGTTCTGTGTGCATTCAAACCACTACCAACTCATATAGTACATGTAACAATATTTTTGTTCTTTAAGAACCCATTTTATGAGCAGACTTTTCCCAGAATACAGATATACTATAATTGCATGGTCTGCACATATGGTAACAGATAGGCTTTCTTTGCCAAAATAAACTCCAAATTTCTGAACAATCTACAGGACTGCTAATGTTTCTCTCTCGGCAGCAACATATTTTTTTGAGTTGGATTAAGTATTTTGCTAAAATATGCTTACTGGTTGTCCATCTTTCAGAAGAACAGATCCTGCAACAAAATCAAATGCATCCATGGTGATTTCTAACTTGCTGTCTCCTTCCCAGAATTTCAAGATGGGACTTGGATTAATGCTGATTTTAAATAGTATTCATTTCCATGATCAAGTGAATCCAGTCTTTTTTTTTTTATTTTTTTTTTAAAATTTAATCAGAACACTGCTAAGCAAGCAAAATTTTTAATGAATGCTCTGTAATAGGAGCATAAGCCCAAAAGTGATGCAAATTTCTTTACCATATTAGGTGGTGGATAATTTTTAATTGTAGAAATTTTTTAAACATCTGTTTCTATTCCATGCTCTGGTATTTCATATCCCTAGTACTGAAGTTCTTTGACTGTGCATTTACATTTTGATACATTAACTTTTAACTCTGTTTATTTTAATACTTCATGGAAATCCTCACTGTGCTCATATATTGTGTTACTCGAAACTGTTATGTTATCTATATATATATAAATTTTTGATATGCTAAGTACAGGCCTTAAGATTATGTCCATTGTCTTTGAAATGTAGTGGGAGCCTCACATAGGCCAAATGGCATTTTAAGGATTTGCATATACGCAATTTAGTAATAAATGCTGTTTTTGCCAGGTCCTACATATCTTGAAATATCCAGACATGAGATCTAGTGTGGTCACATATTTGGTAGGTCATATATTTAGTTTAGTTTTCCCAATTATCTCTTCAGTTATTGGTGAGCAGAAAACTGGATGCTTTGTTACACAATTTAATTTTCTAGTCAAAAGCAAAATGCCAGGCTTTAAAACAGGTGGGAGGAAAATTATTTATTTATTTACTATAGCAAAATACCACAGGGCTAGTGTAGGGACTACACATACAGATTATAAATTAATTTTTCAAAATTACTGAAATATGGCTTTCTATGATATCTTCTTTAATTTTATTGCAGTAGTAGGGTTTTTCTTTACATGGACTTTATTTCTCATTTCAATTGAATGACTCATCACATGTATTAACCTTGGGGTGTGTAAGCTTGGGCTGCAAAAATTTCTTACCAACTGTTCCAATTTTATTTTCCCTTTTAAAGACTAATCCATTCGGTTCAAAGCTGAGGGCTTTGTCTCTTTCTCTGTCAACCTGTTCATGTCCAACTGCACCGACTCTTCATGAAAATTAGTTTGTACCCTAAATGTTTTTAAGAAATCTAGATCTAAAATCTTGCTTACCTGCAAATTTCTATCCATGAAAAAAACCATTTTAGGCCACCCATTCTTAGTTTGCCCATTCACTCACTATACACATTCACAGTGTTTTCCTTGCTCTGTTATCACCTTGGTTACTGTCACATCAAACAATTTATACAGTACAAAGTCCAAAATCTAAATGTCCATTATCCGGAATGATCTAAAATCTGGACCTCAAAGCCACAAACATTTTCTTTTTTGTATGCTTTATGCATGCACATTTGATTTTTCCTTCCATAAAGTCATAGCTGTTAAATTGAATGATAGATATGAAGTCGAAAAAGTAGGATGCCACGAAGGACCAAATATGACGTCTACTGACAAATGGAAAAGGGTCAGGAATAAACCTAAAACATTTTCAACTAAAGTTTCACATCAACATCTGCTCTTTCTCACTAGAGTGTCTGCTGATGATTTTTGCAATAATTCTCACCCCCCTGGCTAAAGCAAACTGTTTTTTAAGCAGAGTGCTGGAGAAGCCACAATCCAGTTAATCTGCCTCTGGTAAATTGGGAGTTGGCTGTACTTAATATGCTAGAAAATAAATTTGTAATTATTTAAAGCAAATAACATCATGCTGATGAATACATACGGAACAGTTACTTATTGAATACATTAAAAAAGAGAGATTATTCAAACAAATCCATTATCCAAACCTCTGACAATTCAAATCAAATTATACATCATTTTTTGTATAAGTGTTATATCTCAGATGATACAATTTAATCATCTTAATAATTAAAATAAAAATATAAAACTCTGTAGATAAATTTTGAGAATCATAAATATGGGAATTTTTTCTGATCTAAGAGAATTAAAAAAGTAAGGAATATTAACAACCTTAAAAGGATGAAACTTCATCATAATTGTTAGACATTACAATAGCCAGGAAATTTTTGGCATACATTTAATATCATTTCGTGAAATCAATAAAATTTAAAAAAATGTAGAATTTTATAAGTGCTGCAACTCTAACTTTTACAAGGATATTTTTATTTATATTTAAGTTCATATATTTAGTACATAAATGTATAATGTATCTAAAATGTTTTACATGTTATGGATAGAGTAAAGATTACATATTATATTTAAATAAGCACTAAAAGTATAATAAATATATAAAAAAACTAAACAAAAAGGAGAAAAGAAAATACAAGTAACACACCGGTGGAAGACAATTTAAATTATTATTATCACACCATAATTCAACCAATCTAGGTAAGTTTCCAATAACTTCTGGCTGAAAAGAAATATAAAAAAAATTAAATGAGAAAATAAATAAATAATTAAAACCTGCAACAAGAAATATTGTACAATTTTAATGATTATTCATACATGCCCCAAACAAAAAAGGGTGAATTTTTACTACTTCATGCGAAATAGGAGGGGGAATCATTTACATTACATCACATTAGATTTATTACACTTTTTCACAAATCATTATTTTCTAGCAAGACATTTGTAGTATGTTCTAATCTCAACATAAGCTTGCAAACAGATGTACAAGATGAAACACACCTATTTTTTTTTTTTTTTTCTTTTTCTTTTCAGAAATGCTGTACCAAAAAATTCTAACAAAATATTTATCTACAGTGTTAAAACATGAAATTACAGATGCCTGGGATTCAAAATACAGAAATGTCTTCCAAGGAAGAAAATAAACAATGATTTCAAAGTTATACATAATAATACAAATACATAATATACATAATACAAATTTATTACAATAAATATCCTTATAATACAAAATGTGCAAATAAAAAGAAAAAGGTTACTATAAAATGCAAATATTGAGACATTTATTTATTAAGTACCAATAAAAAGATTCCTAAATTATTCTCCAAAATGATAAATGATGATTTACTATTACCGAGTTTTAAAATAATAACATTTTATAACACAAGACACTGAATTTAAGTGAAAATCTACTGTCAATATAAAAAATTGTAGATCATGATTTAAAAGTAATTTTTACCAAAACTAAAGCAGAGCTGATCAATAAACATGGAAACATTCTATATATACCTAATAGAAATGGAAATAAGTTTGAAGGAAATATAATCAAAGAAGCTAAAATTAGTAATGTTAATGATGTACTATGGCATGCATCAGAGATTAGGAAACATAAATTACCAAAGGCTGATAAAAAAAAAAAAAAAAAAAAAAAAAAAGAAACTCATTGGTCTACTAAACCGTGATTAAAAATGTAAAAATTTCCCAAAACAATTGTGAATCTAGTACATTAGGAAAAATGACATGAACATCTTATAAAAGTGTGAAATTTAAGCAATCTGAAGATATTTTAGAATTATGGCGTATAGATTTAGTTGGACCAACTGAGAAATCAACAGATAGAAGTTGTTACTTCTTAACAGTGGTAGATGATTACAATAACTTCATATTTGTGATAACAATTGAGAAGAAGAGTGAAACTTCAGAAGCTTTAATCAAGCTTCATCCAAGAAGAAAGGCAAACAGGAAAGAAACTAAAAAGAATTCATAATGATAATGGTAGTGAATTTTTACCTAAAAGTATAAAAGAATTTTTTGAAAATATGGGAATTAAACATGAACTTACAACCTTTTACACTTCGGAAAGTAATGGAAAAGCTGAATGTTTCATACTATAATTCAAACTGCTAGAACTATGTTAACTGATGCAGAATTACAATAAAATTTTGGTCTCAAAGCTTTACAGTAGCTGTACATGTAAATAACAGGAGTCACACACACACACATAAAAAAAAAAAAAAAAAAAAAAAAAAAAAAAAAAAAAAAAAGAGTTTACACCATAATGAACTATATATAGGACACAAGCCTAACATTACTTATCTTAAAAGCTTTGGATGTGAAGTGCATGTTCATATAAGACGAAATTTAATGAACAGAAACTTGGATCACCATTACTAAATGGGAATTATTTAAAATTTGATAAAAATCAAATATTATAAGAACTTATTATTTTTTACAAGGAACAAAATAATGGCAGTGTAAACAATTCAGTAATAACTGGCAGATACCATTGAGAAGATGATCCAAGCTGAAGAAACTGACAAAATTTTACCATCAAATAAATACAGATTATGAACACGACGAAAACAATTCATTGGAAAACCCAGTAATAGAGTATCCACAAATAAATGATGAACTTAGAAATAATAGTTATGAAAATTCTGTACAAAAAAGACCAGTGAGAGCAATGAAGCCACCAGAAAAATTAAAAGATTATGTAGATACAAATGAATACAAATTAAGAATTACCTAAGACATATGATGAAGCTGTAGAATCTGCTGAAAGTCAATTCTGGCTACATGTAGTGATAGAAGAACTGAGTTCAATGGAGGCTAATGAAATACGAGAATTACTTGAAAGACCCATTGATAAGAAAGTTATTAAAAATCACTGGATATTCTCAAAAAGGGATGAAAAGTGTAATTTAGGAACAATTTACAAAGATTTTTTCTATCTGAATTTCATAGTTTTTCATACCCTAAATTTTCGTAAAAGAATTTTTTTTTTCCAATGGCAGATTGTGAACGATTACAAATGTAACGGGTCCATTAATCTATACAAGGCCGGATGTGGTAGTCTCTTTATTATGGAGGCACCTAATAGGTTGGCCGCCATCGTCTTTCCTATGAAGGGATGGACAGTTACAACCATGCCTTCTCTGGGATTCGAACCCAGGCCCTTCAGCACCACAGTCAGCTTCCCTGACCACTATACCAACTGGGCAAATTGTAAAAGAACTTTATGTGCTTGATTTTATTGCAGGTTTTATTATACTTTATTGCTATTTTATTATACGTATACATAACTTTGTCTTAAATTTCTATTTGTGAGTATGTACTGAATGGTACATATGTTCTTGTCTTTATTATTTTAAGTTTTGAAAATACACAATTTTTATTTGGCGCAATACCATGGTTTTGTGCAAAAAACCCAAACCAACCAATGGTTACTTTGATGCAGACAAGCGGGAATGTTTCTACTACACATTCAGAAGAAGCATGGGAGAAATTTTGGCTTCCTATTTAGTGACAGGACAAGAGGTCTCTACACTGTGGTATTACACAAGATCTCACGATTTTACATAGTCCAGATTGATATTACAAATAGCCATCACTTCCATAATAGAAAGGGAAAGTACCCAAATCAAAATGAAGAATAAAAGGGAAATCAAAATCAGAAGCCTGCTTACACATACACACCCAGACATATAGTTTATATGCATATAGGTTCAGCTAGAAGCCAGGCCAGCACCTCTGATACCACAGGTGATCGAAGTATTGCTGAACTAGGTAACTATTAAGTTACCACACAATTTTTAAGAAAAAACATCTGGGGGAGGGGGTAAGAGGGTCTCTCATCCTTCTTTCCTTATCACCAATCTATCAAGAGGGCTTTCAACTCACCATATATTTTGAATGAGAAAATGAGAGCTGTTTCCAGACATATAAATATAGTGGAAAAGCAAGATTTTGTACAAAATTATCACATACAATACATTTGAAAAATAATAAAAGCAAATAGATTTTAGATTTTCTGCAAGGGAAAGGGATCATGCCACTGTTAGTTTGGTACATTTATATTTACCATGTTGGCAACACCAAGTCTCCTCTCCGCGTGCGAGCTATGGATGCCATTGTAATGTTTTGCACATCATGTTAAGTTTCAATAAAAAATGTGAAAAGATAGGTTTCTTATTTTTCGACTTGCTTCTTCATATGATATCAATTTATGTAACATGGAAGCAGTTCTCGTGGAATATGAATGAAGAATTTGGTAGTTATAATTTGTTTTAAAAGTTACCGGTACTAGCGTAAAAATGGCATGTACAAGAAGCAGCGATATTGGCATACCGCTATTTGATGGTTCGGACTATTTTAATTGGAAAGTGCGTATGATGAAATTTTTTCAATTTAAAAAGTGTAAAGATGCGGTTCAGTAAAAAGTCAGTGAAAATGATGACGTGGAAAAATAGGAAGAAAAGGATATCCAAAGCTACAAATTACATTTACGGCGCCATAACAAACAAGCAATTGGAATATATTCACGAGTGTGAGACTGCATTTGATATAATTACGAAATTTGATGCAATGTATTTAAAAACTTCAACATCTCTACAAATTGTTTGTCGAAACTGAAAAATTATCCTGATGTAAATATATTTTTCAATGATTTTGAGAAGTATGTGAACGAATTGAAACATGCCGGTGCCACCGTGACGGAACAAGAAAAACTGAACTATATGCTAAGAGCATTACCTTCAAATTACAGTCACATTGGTGACTTAATAGATGTATTACCAGAGAAGGACAGAACAGTCGATTACCTAAAGAGCAAAATCAAATCAAAATTACTTGAAGAAGAAAAAATGATTATGAAGATTGTGCACCAGCAGAAAAATCAAATGCGTTCAAAATTGAAACAAGCAAATCGGGTCCACAAGGGAATGTCTGTTATAATTGTGGAAAACCTGGTCACATTAAAAAGAATTGTTGGAATGTCCATCAAAGGAACTATCGTGGTAATGGCTCCACTAATTATCATCGCGGTCGAAGTTCTTCAAACAATCGACGAAGGTATAGCGGTGCTTTTAGTGGACATCATGTGAACGCGGAGCATACTCCTAACCAGAAGAATAAACAGTCATCAAGGCAATAGTTTTTCACACCACTGTTACTCAAAAGTAACATGACAAGTTCCAGTGCAAATACTGTGTGAATAAAAATGAAATCAATTGGTTACTGGATAGTGCAGATGCACAGACCACATTATAAACAGTGATGAATATTTCAAAGAGCAAGTCATTTTGAAGGATCCTATTCAAGTGAAAGTCGGTGACGGAAGGATTTTGAAAGCTACAAAGGTTGGCAATATAATTATTTCTTTTCCTGTATATAACTCTGAATCTATCGTAACATTGAAGAATCTATTTTATGTAAAAGAAATAAAAGCAAATTTATTAAGTTATTCGAAGATTACTAGTTTGGTTTGTCAGGTTACGGCAAAGCACTCGAGGGCTATCTGCCTTAAGGGAGGGATGCCTTCGTGGAGGACTTTTTAAGGGAAACTGGCTTGTATACACGTTACACATGGGGAAAACCACGAAAACACCCATGCAGCCAGCCCGTTCGCAGGATTCAAACCTTGGACCGAACTACCAGTGTTCAGCGACGTTACCGCTCGGCCGCTGGTCGGCTCGAAGGTTACTGATAATCATAAAATAGTTTCAA